TACTCATAGAACCAAAGATTGCATTTAGAGCTATTTGAATTAAGAATAACTGATTTCTTTATTCACATAAACCCAGAACAGCACCAAGGCTCCTATGGCCACGGCCACACCAAATTGCCGAATTTTGGACCCACAGAGACTGCATCAGGCGGTAAGATATCTAGTGCTGGCCCTCATTAAGACTTAAGTATGTGTGGGAATGTATTTATTCAGAACTCTGATAAGCCTTAAGCATGTGCAAGAAATAAATATAGTAAATAACTAAACTAATACAATTCAAACTTAATTATCTCAGTGAACCATAGAAGCAAGATAAAATTTAATGGAACAACTTGTGGTTAGTCGCCAAGCTCATGACACATAGCCAAATATGTATAGTGAAGAATGGCTAAATTTGATGATGACAGCCACTAATTTTAAAGGTCTTTGGATATTGCAAAACAAAGGTGAAGTTTTCCAATAAACGGAAATGTGGAGAAGCTGTAAAAAATAAGCTGATATAAAAGAAGTTTTTCATTGTGATGACAATGCTTCTCAATCATCAATCAATTAATGAATGGCGAAATCTGTAGTATGGTTTTAAATCCAGAAAATACCGCTACCGATAGTGAGAAAAGTGACAGAGAAGTTACTAAAAACAAGAAAATTTTTATTGACAAGAGTCAATTCTCCAAACAGCATTACGGGACCTCAACAATGAACTAAACAAATATATGGCTGTCTACAATTAAATAGAAAGTATTATAACGCGCAACTTAAAAACAAAAAATAGGTTAACTTTTTTTTTTTTTTTTTTTTTTTTTTTTTTTTTTTTTTTTTTTTTTGTTTTGTTGTTTTGTAAATTTTGATACCTTTAGATAATAAATACTTCATTATTTCATAAATCACGATTTCATATTTTTAATTTAATAATTTCTACATGCCATCTTACTAGATTTAAACTGATGATCTAATATCCAGAAAAATCCGAAATCGCTGAAATCCTGACGAGTGTGTCGGAACATATTCCTCTGGATGTGTGTAAATGAGGGGATTCCTAGGATTAATTAATCTGCTGGGATCGAATTAAAAAGTTTGACCTGGAAATGTGTTTGATATTTAATGAAATGATAGTGACTAGGTTATCAAACATGTCTTATTTCCGAATCATTTATGCTGTAATATTTTATCATTTATTTTATTATTTTTAGCAAGTTTTTTTACATTTCATCAAAATGAGTCAGATATTTTATTTTGCATTTATATTTTGATTAAAATTTTTTTGAGAATCTCTTGATATTCTGAAATTAATTACAGAAATTAATTCTGTTAATTTCTGTAATTAATTTGATTTTAAAATTAATTTGAAATTAATTTGATTTTTTCTGTAATTAATAGCCCAGAAGGCTTTGTGTGTGTTTTTTGGCATTTTATGTCAATTCACTTCTCAAACTGTTGCCACCAACTATTACACCACTGTATTATATTTATAGAAATTAAATAATGAGGAATCTACGTAAATGTATGTATGTTTCTCGCATTGTGATAAAACAACGGTACTTAGAGCCATCAAATTTTGAATAACATAATCATCCAGCGAATATGGGCATCTGGAAGCCTTAATTTGGAATTTGTTTTATTATCTATTTCATTTTTTGTCAGACATTAAAGAATTTTGGTTAAGGAACTCAGCAATTTCAAAACAAGGAATGGCAGCACTCTAGGGGGGAAAAAAAAAAGAAACATTTTTATCTTCAGCGCGCAAGACTGCATACTGAAAATTCTAAACATATGCTCATTTAAAAATTATTTTGCGATATTGCTGTTGAACTGAATTTTGTGGCTTAAGCGTAAAGAAGATATTGAATAAATAAAAGTAGCACACAAAGCGTTAAAAAAAGTGTATCTTTGGGCATAGTTTAAAATCTGAAAGCTTTTTTTTTTTTTTTTTTTTTTTGTGCCTGAGCAGGAAAAAAGATGCATCGATCATACCTACAAATAATTTTAACAAAGTTTGTAAAGCACATTTAGCGTTATTGTCACTCAAGATGAATATGCCAAAATGTAAATTCAGGTATGTTTTCGGAAAATTCTAATGTTCTGCTGGTATGCTTAGAAATACACAGAGTTACCAACTCTCCCGATTTAGGCGGGAGACTCCCGATTTTCGAACCACTCTCCTGCCAACCCGATTTACAATATATTTCTCCCAACTTTTTCTTATTCTTAAAATTTCTCACGATTTTTTTGGAACTTGGCTTAATACTTTCTTATAAACAAAATAATAATAATAATAATAATAATAAAAGATTTTGGACGTCTGAAAGCAATTGAATTTTCTCTAGATTATATTTAAAACAAACCTTGAAAATTAGATAACTTCTGCTTTGTGAGTGAGAGAATATACGTATCCAGAAATGTTATTCTCCAGTTCTCTAATGGGCATCGAGCTCCCCTGCGTGTCATCTGGCATATATTAGCCAATGAGCTCAAAGCAAGCTCAAGGCTGTTATTTGGATGTTCTTTACTCTTTAGTTATTTCGTTCATCTTGTTCTGAGTTGTGTGAGTACACATGCCTTCGGGAAATGGTTTTAGAAATTAAATCTTTTGTTATGTGTGCGAGGAAGGTGAAATACTTGTGTACGCTTCAAAAATTGTACACAGTTGACTTATCCTTCCATTATTTCCTCAAGGAAATGTAATAAATTTGAGATGTGTACCGCCTGTCGTTACGATTTTTCGATTTTGCATGGTGGAAGGGCGGATGTTCTCAAACATGTGCGTACACAAGGACAACATGAGTTGTTTTGGGGGGAAAAAAATGGAAAATTAAATTTTTCTTTGAAAACAGAGGACCAAAAAGTTATTAATGCAGAATGTTTGTTCTCTGCCTTTTTATTTGAGCACTACCTGCCACTGAATGCATAGGATCACACTGCAGCTTTATTTAGAAAAATGTTTCCCAATCGTGAAATCGCTAAGAAATACTCAAGTGTAAGAACCAAAACAGGTGCAATTGTTAAAGAAATGGGTTTGAAAAATAAATCTTGAGTTATTGATTGCATTAAAACAACTCCGTTCTGCCTCTCTATGGATGGAAGCAATAATACTGATTCAAAACCGTATCCAATTGTTGCTTCTTTTTTTAATCTAGAGTCTTCAGAAATTGAGTGCAGTTTATTTCTGTTCCCACTTTAGAAGGACATTGACAGGTTTTAATATAGCACAGCTAATTATTAAAACTTGGATAATGCACCAGTATTGGTAGGCTTGCAGGCCTTAAGAATGAAAATTCAGATTTGCAAGATTATGAGGCACCTTTCACCTCTTAAATTTAGCGCTGAAAAAGGGGTAGCTTCTTTACCAATAAATTGGATGAACCATTGTTATGTTTATATTACTTGAAGAGTTCTAAAAGGAGGAAAAATTAAACAGTTCCAAAAGCTGCATAACGCAGTTTACATTAGAAAACTGAATGAATTTACAAAATCAGCTAGGATTGATACCCGTGGAGTTTATTGAAAACTAAAGGTCTAGGAATTTAATATAGTGAACTGTCTAGAATTATTTGGCCATCTTGACAGTTCCCCATAGTAATGCGAGTGTGAGAGGATTTTCAGTTTGTTGCAAAAACGAGGACTAAATTTAGATCTAATATTAACGATGAACAATAGAAAAACTTTTTATTAGTCAAGCAGGCCTACCGGCAATTGCTATGAACAAATTAGGAAGTTTCTTAAGAAAGCAAATCTGCCACTGTTTATAACATTGTACGAAACTATTAAAGTGTTTTTTTTTTTTTTTTTGTTTGTTTTTCTTAAACGATACAAGTAATAAAAATGTTTTTTATCTGTAAGGTATTTTGTTGTTGCATTTAAGAATTAGTACTATTTAAGATATTCTTGTTAAAAACTATATTTTATCATTAAAAGTCTTTTTAACATTGAGAAAAATCTCCTGATTTTTTGAGTGTCAAAATTTGGCAAGTAATAATAATACATCTACTTTTAAGATGAGGTAAAATTTGTTTTCGAAAATTTTAAAATACAAATTTAAAAATAAATCATAAAAAATGCGCAAATTTTATTTGGAATGAATTTCGAAATACAAAAGGAAGAATCAAATAAGTTTAATAAAAAAATAGAGCTATAAATATATATCAAGTTCAATTAACATAGAGGAGCTAATTTTTAATGAATATTTTTTAAAGGTAGGCTTAGTGATGCAAAATATCCTTCTTGCAAAGATCGTACTACTGCAACAACACACCGTCTCCAAAGTGATTTGCGCTAAATGGCATGCCCTCACATAAGAGGATTAACTGCTGATGCATATAAGGGTTTAATCTGTCTGCTATTAAAAGGCTATAAAGGTGAAGAACTTGCTAAAACATTTAGATAAAAAACATGAAACCTGTTTGTGGCATACCACTTTGGGAAGGGGGAGCCTCACTTCTGTTTCAACCAGCTGTTGAATAACATGGATTCGAGATGCTGCTACACAAAGCCACCTTAATCTTTTTACTCGACAGAGGAGAAGAAGAGTCAAAATGACCGCTAGCCATAATTCTAGATATATACAGTTACATAACAAAAAATAATCTTTTGAAACAGGCCAAATAAATTATATTGTTATCTTGCTATATATTTAGGAAAAGTAAAAAAATATTAAAATATTTAAAAAATATGAACACTAATTTAACTTGTGGTCAAAATGACTGCTTCCATAATTCTAGAGTTAATATAATAATTTAGAACAAAATTATGTTTTTTAGATTAAATAAAAAGGATGCTTTACTTTGTTTATGAAGTGTTTAATTTATCAACATATTTGTTAACTTTTAATAGCATCTGCTAGGATTTTCTTTTATCTAAATCACATGATTGTGGAAAGATCATGACAAAAATTAAACTGTGGGATCTTATTTCATATTCTAAACCATATCCTAAAACTTAATAAATTTAATTTTAAAAAATTTCTCATTATTAACTTTTTATTTATTTCTTACTTTTTATTCCAGGTTAGTGCTTATAAGAAAGCAAAATATGAAGTGCCATTTGAACCTGTATCAGAGCCGGAAATAATTTTGTCTGTGCAAGTATTTCGACCAGAAAAACAAAGCAACAATTATATAAAATCTGCGTTGCCTCGTTTTCCTGTATTTCAGGTTAGTTCATTTTGATTATTAAATGAGTTAAAATAGCTTTTTTTTCATATATATTATGCATTATTAGTCACAGTAATATAAACAGTTTCATGATGGAAAATAAAATGTTTCAAATTGAATATAAGAGATCATTTTTGTTCCATAGTTCCATTGCGTTAAGTTGGGTTATAATTTAAAAAAAAAGTTGTTCATTTCCTCTAGGCCCTCGGCTATTCCAAATAACAGTGCAGAGTGGAAAAAATGTTGGAAAAAATAGTATTTAACTTAAGATCATTGTATGGATTTTTTTATTAAAATTACTTCTTTTGACAAATGGTTAGTTTAATCACTTTATATGTTTATGCATATATTAGAGTTAATGGCAGAAATTTCAATACTTAAAAATTATTTACAATTCATAATTTTAATTGGTACCAAATGATAACTTATTAACAAATGTTTCCCTCATTGCCATCCCTATATTTGTAAGTTATGTAGATTTAAGCATGTGTTTTGTTGTGTTATATTTAACATTGTTATATTTTACTAGTTATGGTATTTTCTGATTATCCTCACTCCCACCTGAAAAAGTATTCATGAAATAGTGCATTGTGTTGCCAAAATAAGTAACTTATGCTTTATTGGGGCACACTCACATGCAGCACAGGTATGCACTCACATGCAGCAGAAGAGCACCAATTTTCAGCTTCAAATTGGATGACCACTAGATTTCTTTCTGTTGCATTGAATATATATAGTTTTCTTCCAAGGAATCATAATGAGGCTGTGGAGTTTGCCAGCTGATCAAAAAGAAAGTGTTGGATTTCTTCTAAGGTATGGTGTTTTATACAGGTGTTGAGAATGCAAAAATTTGCACTCTATGAACATGCACTTTATAAAAGATAAAATTTTTGCTCTGATGTTGAATTCCCACCCCCCAAGCAAAAACAGATTGCTGTGTACATGAGGAAACAACAACATGCTCAATGCCAAATATGTGCAGTTCTTTGACTTTTTTTTTAAGTGAAAACAAATCCTTGTGTACATGGGAAGAATGACAGTATGCACAGAGCCAAATTGAGGGTGATGCTAAGTTTTTTTTAATTCTCTGATTTTTTTAAGATAAACAGATTGCTGTATACATGGGGAAAACAATGTAGGAAAAAAAGTGTTTTATTATGGATATTTCATATGTTTTTAATTTTGTCAGTTGGTTGTTATATTTTTCTTAGTGCAGTGCCATTTTAAAATGGCTGTTGTCTTTTGTTGCATGGCAAAAAGTTAGTCACCAGAGATTGTTGACTTTTCACAAAGGGGTTCAGAAAATATCCATGTTATTTTCTGTAAGGTTCTCAAATTTGAAAAATAGCAAAATGAAAAGTATTTGCCTTTTTTTAAGATTTAGGATATTGCTTTAAAGTCAAGAATATTTTCAATTTCATATTTCTTTAGTGATGTAGAGGGAAATTGTACATTACTAAATACAATGTGTTGTAAAAGTACTTGGCATATAAAACTGTCATAGAGTGAAACAGATGATTTCAAGTTTGTGTTACCAAAACAGAATAAGAACCTTAATCTCTTGTATCAGTGCTGATAATTAAAGTTTCTGGTATCTAAGTTCCAACTAAAGTTGTGGTATGAACTGATGTTCTTGGTAGCAGATAATATGTAAATGCCAAATTTGTTTATTCCTAATACTTTTCTGAAGTATAGATAAAAGTGCACAATGAAGAAGTGTATTTTTCATGTAAAATCAGTCAATGAATTGATTAACTTTGCATGACACTTTGGGGGGGGGGGTTAAGGGCTATTAAATGTACAGGGTTCATACATTGCTTTAAAGTGCTGAAAAGTCCTTAAGACTTTTTGGAAATGATTTTTGATCTTTAAAAGTCCTTAATTTTGGCCAGAATCAGCAAAAGATCCTTAATTTTACTCATCTAACATTTCCTTTTTATGACTGCCATTTTGAGCACAAATTTATATTTTGGAGGAATATTTTTCAGCGATGCATTGACAGATATATATTTGATGAGTTCACATTTGAATTCTTTAAATCTTCTTAATATAAATAGTACATACATGGTCTTCAGGCATGAGGCACTGCCTAAATTGACTGCATGAGGCACTGCCAAGTGTTTTAAAATTATCTTTTTTGTGAGTGAAGAGTTCATAAAATATTACATCAAAAAAAATCTTTCCCCTTTTTAAAATAAGAGTTCTTTTATTATGTAGTGCTAAAGTTGGCAACTTTTCAACATTTTGGCGATTTCAAGATCAGTTTGCATATAAAGTATTTTATTCAAAGATTTGTAAATTTTTGAAATTTTTTTTTACAAACATTGATAAATATCATAAAAAATAATAAAATTATAATTTAGAAGTAACGTTAAAATAAGACATTTTAATTTTATTCTGTCCTATTTTAAAGTGACATTAATTTTCATTTCTTGTGACTTATGAATATTTTGATTCTGAAAAATAAGCATAGTAATAAATTACGTAAATGCAAGGCACAGTTTCTGAAACACTTTTTAGAAGGGAAAAAGCTAAAGCTACTGTTAATTTAAAATTAGTTTCATTTGTCATCTTTTATATTTTTTCTTGATTACTTCTTTTCCATGTAATTTTTTCAGCATATTTAAATGTATATCAGTTTTCTCTCAGAAATTCATATACATTTAAATACACTGGGTGGTCATGCCATTTCTTTTCTGAGCTTTTTTTTTTTTTTTTTTTTTTTTTTCCCTTAAAAAATTTTCTTTTTGCTTTTACAAATTTAGTAGAGATTTTAGACCTTGAACCTCAGAAGGATTTAAAGGAAAGATTTACAGACCTACAAATCCAGAAAAATGTGATGAAATGAAAAATGTCTTCATGGTATTAACACATAATGTATGTGTTTTATAGGAAACTTGTTACGAATTTCTTATCTTCTGGAGAATTTTGGAAGAACAGTGAAAACAAAATTATTTGTATTTTCTTTCTTTGATCCCAAAAGTCTTTCTCTTACCATATTTATATTCCTTTTATTTTCTTATCTTTCCAAGGCGCAAGCATTGAAGAAAGCAGAGAAAGTAAAGAAATTGAAAAATTATTAAAAGCTTCATCTAATTTGCTTCAATGCAACATCGCTCTGTGCCTGCTGTAAATTCTAAAAATTTTGCCTATCTGGTTCTGGGCATTAGAATTTTCCGAGTTGTCCTGTCCTTATATCATTTCATATTTATTCTCGATACTCATTATTAAAGAAAAAAAATTAGCAATTTCTTTTATACATTCTAAGTACAAACAAACAGTTCTTTAGAATAATAGAAATCTTTAATTAAATATAGAAATTCTAAAATGAACAGGAAACTCATCAAAGAAATTGATTTTATTTAAAAAATATATGTATATTGTTTAAAGGTACATTGTTGAAACATTAATAAATTAGGAGATGAAGCAGAGACAAGTGGGAACATTGATTTGTTTATCGAAACAAAAATTGATGTAAAGTAGCTAAAATATCTGGAAATTTTTCGAATTGAAAAGATACATATATATTTTTTGTTGTTGCTCCAAAACATAAATATTTGGCAGCTTTTAATGTATAATTGTACTAATATCATTTTAGACTCAATATCATTATAACTGCTGTAAAATGTTCTTATGGCATTTTAAATGGATATTTTTAGAAATGAGAAAAAATTGTAACCATGTTAATCTTAAATGTCCAAGGTTATCTAACTACATAACTTAGTTATTTGTAACTAACTGCTCATCCTTAAAAGTCATCTTTATATGTTAAGGCTAGTTATCACCTTTCCTTAATCCTTATTGTGTATGTAAGATACAACACAAAAATATAAAAATTAACATAAAACTTTATTTTTTACAACTAATGAGCTTGAAAGAGTTCAAAACAACCTAACACCTCTGGTACTTGAGCGCCTTATTGAAGCTTCATATTAAATAGTGTATATTAACTGAGTTACAACTCTAGCAAATCTACATGAACCAACTGGATCAGACAAAGGAGCAGCTAACTTTAACAACCATATCAACATAAGGCATTCATATCTGTTTTTATCATTGGCTGTCTATTTCTGATGGAGGCAACAGCCAAGCTTCTGTTATGAGTCATGGTAATTATTATTTTACTTCTCGAGTTATGTTAAGCATAATATCTGCATAGACTTTTGGACTGAGTGAGTACATGATGAAATGATGCATAAAAGAAAGAATTTGTAAAGCTTTAATAAAATTTAAATAAAAGGTCACCTAGCTTTAAAATAGTGTGGAAATTTTATAAGTGTAAAATGTAAATGTTTCAAAAAATTTTATAATTTGATTCTAATTACTTTAAAAAAATTATGAAGTGGATTTTATACTTGAATTTGTGTTATAATTAATTAAACTATATTATGTTTAATAATACTTTATCTTACTTGTAGATTTATTTTAGTCTTACAAACAACAAACTGAATTTCGGGTGTAGATAATTGCTTTAATTTATTCATTTCATATTTTGCTGGTAGTCCTTGCTGCCCAGAAGTTATAGTGGTTAGGGGAGTCTATTGTGGCACCAAAGGCCCTAGGTTTGAATCCTGAAAAGGCACATATGTGTATAAATGTAAAGTGTCTTTGCAGCATGGGGGCATTCTAAGTATATGGCAAGCCACAAATCCTCTCGTGTGGTTTGGCAATTGAGAGAGTTTTGGGAGACTCTCATACCACTCCCAGGAGTGCTCTCACTCAAAACTGGGGTGGAAATAGAAGTTCAACCTCCTTGAGACTCTGACAACCATTCTTCCATGAAATACAAGAACAAAACAACAATTGGTACTTTTTTTTTTTTTTTTTTTTTCATTGGTGGTTCTTAAGAAGTTCTTAAAAGTACTTAATTTCCACATATAGAAATGTGTATATTCTGCCTTGTTGTAATTTATTGTAATAACTAGACAGGGTTTGTAGCGGTCCTTATAAGTGCTTATAAGTCCTTATATTTGAAAATAAAATATAAAGGCCCTTATAGGTGCTTAATTTTCTTTAAAGCCTTTTTTTTTTTTTTAGTGTTTCTTTTTTTAAATGAACGCGCTTTTTCCCCCCGTACCAAAGCCGAAACTAAATAAACAACTTTTCTTCCTAATATGGAATGTCAGATGGTGAGTCATACTCCCGGAAATAGCTTTTCCCCCTTTCTCTGCATTAACATAACCTTTGGTGTGCACGAAGAGTACAGACAGGTGCCCATCATTCTATTGGTCAAAGAATTGCGAAAGCAGTAGAAAATTCCGCTACATTCAGCATTCTTCTCCTCTCACCCAAATACTACATATGTTTGAATTTCTATCAAGATCTTAAAAATTTGCATTCTCGTTCTGCTTGGTTTGTTCATATTCATGTTTATTATGATCGTTATGCTTATATTATGAGCATACATATGAATGTTTATAATAACAGGGTTGCAGTAACTGCTGAAGTATAGTAAACTTCAAAAAAAATTTGTGTTTTAACACAGATTAGCTTTCTAATTAATAATATTCGGAATGGCGTAAATAAAGGGAAAGTAATCGAATAGTCCATTATTTTGGCCAATATATTATACAGTACGAAGGTTGGGAGGTTCTGCCTTTTCTCCGCAAAATCTCGAATATTGAAACTGTTACAGTTCGTTGTAAAACAACGGTATTTTTTTTTTTTTTTTTTTTTTTTTTTTTGGTCACTTTCCAATCTGGATTGAATAAGACTAAAAGTTCTGCGGTCTACCAACCCAAGCGAAGAATGATTCTATTCCTGAAATTTAATGCAGTCTGTTCAAAATTAGAATGAAAAACACTCCAGTTTGGTAAGTCTCTTTCTTTTCCTTTATTTAGCTCATTATTCTCCGAATACTGGCAGCTGTGTATTCCGATTGCATAATATCACATACTTAAGAATTACGCCGCACATATTGTGCAATAACATTTGCGATATTTTGCAGACATAATTAATTTTGATGTTCAGTTCGAGATTTGTTTATGAATACTTAAAAACGTTTTACTGTGATTTGCTAAGCAGAATATTTTTCATTTCCTTTGGTTTATTTTTATATGATGCACATATCAAAATGTCAAAAGCATTATTTAGCTGAAAAATCTAAAGAACGATTACAATCTATCATCCCCTCCGCTCCTTTTTTTGACCAGTTACGCTCGACTATCCAGAATTTTCAGATAATCACGGCAATTTCCGAGTATGCCGGTTAGTTAAGCTTTTACTATTAAAGGATGACTGCATGAAGCAATTTCCTATCTTGCTGATTTTAGAAAATGCTCCCTTTTTTTACTTAAATTTACTTTGCTTGCAATATCTGTTGAGAAAAAACTGTAATACAATGATGAAAATTTAAGAAAACGTTCAGAATTTTAGATTTAATTATTTTAAATATCAATATGAGTGGAAAAATAAATTGCATTATTATTAAGTTCCAAGCAAATAGAATAAATATGCCTTATTATTATTTATTTCCTCTATTTTGAACTGAAATTTCATCAATTAATCTTGTAATATAGTTTAGATGTGCATAGTTTTTTTTTTTTTTTTCTCTCATTGTGTGGTTGTGTTTTAACACAGATTAGCTTTCTAAGGAATAATATTCGGAATGGCTTAAACAAAGGGAAAGTAATCGAATAGTCAAAATAATTTAATTTTTTTGGCCAATACATTATACAGTACGAAGGTTGGGAGGTCTCCCCTTTCTCCGCAAAATCTTGAATATTGAAACTGTTACAGTTCGCAGCAAAGCAGACAATGAACATTTTTTTGGGGGGGGTCACTTCTCCAACCTGTATTGAATCGGACTATAAGTTCTGCGGTCTGCCAACCTCAGGCAAAGAATGATTCTGTTCCGGAAATTTAACACAGTCTGTTAAAAATCAGAATGAAAAACACCTGTTATTGGTAAGTTCTATTAATTCAATATGAGTATGGCACGCGACATGTCCTGCTCAATGATAAATATGCCACATAAGCGCATGACGGTGCGAACCATATGAAGAGCAAAGATGCATTTTCCTTTATTTAGTTATTTATTCTCCGAATTACCGAGCAGCTGTTGATTCCTATTACGTAATAACGTTGGTGATATTTTGCAGAGATAATTAATTTTGATGTTCAGTTCGAGATTTGTTTATGAACACTTAAAAGAATTTTACTGTGCTTGCTAAGCAGATTATTTTTCAGTTCTATTGGGTTTATTTTTTATATGATGCACATATTGAAATGTCGAAAGCATTATTTAGCTAAAAAATCTAAAGAACTGCTACAAGTCTACCTCCTTTCCTCTTCCTTACCAAGTTATGCTCGACTATCCGAATCGCCAATTTCCAAGTATGCGGGTTAGTTAAGCTTTTATACTGTTAAAGATGACTGCATGAAGCAAGTTTCTGTCTTCTGATTTCAGAAATGTTCCTCTTTGTTTTACTTAAATTACTTTGCTTGCAATATCTGTTAAGAGAAAATTGATATACAATGAAAATTTAGAAAATGTTCAGAATTTAGATTTAAATTATTTAAATATCAATATTAGTGGAAAAATAAATTGTATTTATTATTAGGTTCCAAGCGAATACAATAAATATGCCTTATTATTATTTATTTTCTCTATTTTGAACTGAAATTCCATCATTAAATCTTGTAATATAGTTTAGTTCTTCATAGTTTTTTTTCTCTCATTGTAAACTAGTTCTGTAAATTGAACTATTATTTAAAATTAAAAGCAAAAAAAAAAAAAAAAAGTAATTATTTTCAATGGTTGAGGTAATGCTTATTCTCTCTTGTACTTCATTTCTCATATTTTAAATTACAAGTCTAATTTTTAAGGATATGCAGTTATGTATGATATAATTAGACAGGTGCTTATTTTTTTTTTCTGAAAATGTGCTTGAAAAGTGCTTATAGGTGCTTATTTTTTTAACTAAAATGTGGCTATGAACCCTGCTAGAAACTAATGCCAAATATGAGTGCAATTTAGTTACTCATGAGTTCAAATTTGTGAAGGTAATAAAACAATTGCCCCCCCCAAAAAAAAAAATTTGAAAGCTTTCAGATTTTTATGTTATGCCGAAAGGGACATTTTTTCATTTATTACACACATACATCTTTTGAGAGCGTTTGGGCTAAAAATGTTTAAAAACAGCATATCTTTAAGTTTCCAATAGGCAGTCTCGGGCACTAGAAATAAAGATGTTTTATTCCATACAGTGTTGCCATTGTTTGCTTTTTAATCAAGAATCAGTTAAAATTGTGCAAAATACGAAGTAGATAATAAAACAAATTCAAAATTTGGACTTCCAGGTTCTCATACTTGTGTGGAGGACTACATTATTCAAAATTTGATGGTATATCAAATTTTAAATCTGGGTACCATTGTTTCACCTAGATCAAAATCTAAGTACCATTTTATTTCACAGTGCTAGAAACATACATATATTTATGCAGATTTTTCATTATTTAATTTCTTTAAGTATAATACAGGGTGGTAATATTTGTTGGCAACCATTTGAAAAATGATTCCATGCTTTTAGTGATTTGATGCAGAATGCCATTTTGTAATAGCCTTTCTCAACTAACGCCCCTTTGGGCTAATAAATTTGTGAAACCAAAGTGACAGAAATAGGACATATAATTAATGAATTATTTCTAAGCTCAATTTCTTGCTTCCCCCCCCACACTAAAATTTTAACTCTGTGAGTAGCACAGCTTTTTGAACTGCATATATTAGCTTAATTTGTATGATTATGTAGTTAAATTTCTCTTTTCATAAATTTCCGTTCAAAATGTTGATGTTTACACCATTAAACAAAGAAAGAAAGAAATTTTTTTAAAATTATAACCTAATATATGCCAGGTTAAAAAAAAATCATATTGAATACATGTGGTCATGCCACTTGCTTTTAAGATGTGTTTTATTTATATATATTTATGTATATATCAATATTGCATAGAAATTAAATTTTCCTTCAGGAAATATGCAATTACTTTATGTGTTATTATTTTTTAGATTGATCAGGAGTTTTTGATTCTTGGTTCGCAGTATTTAACAGAATTACGTGACAGAATAGACTGTATTTCTGATAGAGTCATTCCTGGTGATTTTAGTGAGCACCCTGATCTAGAACCCGATGTCACATGCAAAGTAATTTTAATTTCTAATTTATTTTTTCTTAATTTGTTGACTACCATGGGCAAGTATATTTACCATATAACTTATGCATTTCATGAGCAACTAAGCATAGGCACATTTTTTGCCTTTATGCATCTAAAAAAGGGGGAGGGAATGGTAGTCAGCAGGGTAATGTATTATATATATATAAGTTATAGTTTTTGTAATGCAATAGTCTTTTTATTGTATTATTAGCGGGCAAGCCTACCAGCTGAGCGGGCTGAAGCCCGCTACATTAGGGGATGGATGTCTTCGTGGTATTCGAAAGTTGGACCGAACTACCAGTGTACAGCGATTTTTTCTGGACTGCACCCGCTTATTGATTTATGTATGCAGAAGATACTGTATACATGTTAACACATGCGGAATATCACGAAAGCACACATGCAGCCAGCTTGCTCACCGGGATTCGAAAGTTGGACAGACAGGGTATGGATGCCTTCGTGGTATTCGAAAGTTGGACCAAACTAACGGTCTGCTTTCCGCTTTTCTTCGCCGTGATTCGAAAGTTGGACCGAACTACCAGTGTTCAGCGATTTTGCCAGGGATGCGCCCGCTGTATTCACGTATGCATCAACAAAATACAACATACACGTAACACATGCAGAAAATCACGAAAACACTCATGCAGCCCAATGCCTAAGGGGACAGATGCTTTCGTGGAGGACTTTTTAAGGGAAACTGGCTCGTATACACGTTAGACATGCGGAAAATCACGAAAACACCCATGCAGACAGCCCTTTCGCCGAGATTCGAATGTTGGACCAAACTACCAGTGTTCAGTGATTTTACAGCTCAGCTACTAATGGGGCCTTGTACGAAGTGTAATCAAAAAAATTTTCGGCTATGATATTCCACCAGTAGACTCGTTATTAAAATTCCTTTATTTAATTTTTTTTGGTAAACTTCTGTCATAAATTTGATGCGTAACATCTCTTTTTAATTTTGTTTCATAACAAAATATAAATAAATTTCATAACATAAATATATACTGTCATTTAAATGTCTGTAAAATGGTAAACAAACATTTTGGAAGCGTTATTTTACAATTTTTTTCATTCCTGCAAGTAATACTTTTTACTGCGAGCAAACCTTTGATCTTAGCCGTAACTGTAACCGCTTTCTGGGCGTTTGTTTACATTTTCAAGCCTGGGTTTTTGAGCTAATAATTTTTCGTCAGTTATTTTTGTTTACCTCCTTAAAATGTTCTTGTAAGAATCTTGATAATATTTTATTCGTGAATTTGTTTTACTTTGATTATACTGGTAAAATTCTTTCTTTTTACGTATGCTATCATGATGCATGCTATTAGCAAGCAGTATCGTAAACACAAAGCAAGACCGGCAAAAAAAAATCGTGCATGGCCTGAAGAATATTCATGGTAGATGTTTATTTGAAGATGCTGTTACGCCAGATAAAATTGCTGACACTGAAAATAAATCTTTAGCGAATATGACAAATAGTGAAAGTCCAGCACCAAAATCAATTGTGAATACAACTGCGAGTGCAAGTGCTGGTTAGTTGAATACAACTATTCAATCTTCATCAAATTCTACTCAAAATTTGAGTGAAAAGTGCTCTTATATTTAAATGAATGGAGAAACGTGGTCATCTTTGTTGCATAATGAATGTTAAATGTGATGAATGCTACAACAGTTCTTTAGATGTAATTTCAAAGGGAATGTATGGCTATTGAACTCATTTGCAAATTGTGTAAGAAGGTGTTCAGTTCCAAAATTTTCTAGCTCACTTGCAAAAGAATCTAAATGTCTTGATTGCAATAAAAAACTTGTAAATGCATTTCTAAAAATTGGGAAAGTTTACACTGCATTGGAAGTATTTTCTATGGCTATTCATTCAGTGGAGAAGAAAGCATTTTCAAAATATTTGCACGAAGAGAAAAAAAAAAAAAAAATTTTTTTTTTAAATGACATTCTTCAAGTTGCTCGAAACAGCGTGAAAAAGCATGAAGAATTAAATGGTGACCTTTTAAATAAATCACTTTTGATTTTGACGCTGTCATATCCACTAACGATTTATTTTCAGTGTGACCAATTTTGCCTGGTGTAACAGCATCTACCATGGAGCTAATTAATTTTAAAAAATCAAAAATTGTTAAACCAAAACTTTTCGATTGTAAAATTGCTGGTAAGTAACAGAATGTTAAATAATATTTGTAATGTTATGAAAATTCTAAGAACAGATAACAATTATCAAAATATTTTTAGTAATTAAAAAAATAGGCAACGACCACAGGAAGTGTCATTTTTACTTCCTTGTGTGAGGTAGTGGTTTGATGTATTCAGCTACGGCAAAGCACTCAAGTGCAATCTGCCTAAGGGGATAATCCTTTTTATAATAAAACTGATGTACTAAAATTGCCAAAAATTTTCATTTTGAACAGCATAATGAAAACTTTTAAAATGCAGCACATTTCATTAGACAACATAAATGTGTGATGTATAGCTGATGCAAGCTAATTCAAAACTAATGGTATAGTGTAAAATTTTATCTATTCCTGTATGAAATGATAGAGCAATCACATTGTCATGGGGAGGGGAAATGAAAAAATAATTGTTTGGGTTTCTTACCTCACCTTTGCTATGTGTTTGTTATGGGCATCACTGATAACACTGCGAGCATTTATGAAACAGCGAAATTCGTTTTTGAACATTTTCAGGGATGTGTTTGAGCAAACTTGAGTGCCATTTTCTTGTCTGCCAGGTCACCAGTGGTATTCCATCAAGCTCTTTTAATGATGAAGTAAGATATATAGATAATCATTTTTCCATTTTAGGTCAAGTATGGTTGCAGTGTGACATTTCATATAGGAATAAATAAGATTTTAATTTACCCCACAACTTTCGAATTACCTTGTCTATTTAATGTGATTGATCTGGAACTTAATGTGGAAAACATATAAAAATTTTCCTGTTGTTGGAGAGCTCTTCTTAGAGTGTCAGAGAGATAGTATTTAATTCTTTTAGTCCATGAAGAATTAAATTCTATAAAGTTGCTTTAATCAGTTGCAATCCATAAAATATGTTATGCACATTGTTAATTGTAATCACAGTGTTTCAATTTAATCATCATTTAAAATTCAAATATTAAGATCTATGTTCTTTCTGTAAAGTGCAGGTAATACCTTTTGTTGACAAACAGTTTAATAGCCATTCCCAAGAATGGATGATGTGGGTAATGTTATCTGCTTCTCCAACCCGACCAGTAGGAATAGGTCAGACCATCTGAATGTGACATTTCAAGTCTTAAAAATTAAAATTTTTATTTGCATGGAGTAATAGAGAAATTTATTTAAAATTTTAATTTTTGATGCATAAATTTATATTATATTGAATCAGTTGTTCTCACAGTCTTGTGCTGCAGTAATTTGATGTTTCATAAGATTACTCCAAAAGAAATTATCAGAACAAGCAGTTTGATAAGAAAAAGTAAGTTTAGTGTGCAATTTGCAAATTGTCTGCTCATTAAAGAATTTTCTGGGTTACTGTCTTTTACTAACATTGTTACTTAAATCATTATTACATTTAATCAAATAATTGATTAATTGATTGATGCAAAGCGTATTAGGTCTGTCTGGCTAAAGAGAGAAAGAAATGCTGTTATAGAGGTAGCCATCGGCAACTGAGCGATAAGATTGCTGAGCACTAGTAGTTCATCCCGCATTCAAAATCTGGCTAATGAGCAGTTGCAAATTTTTGTTTACCTCATGTGTAATCAGTGTCTCTTAGAAAGTCTTCCATGAAGGCATCACTCTCTTTGAGTAGATAGCCTTCTAGTGCTTTCCATTTTTCTTTATGGATGACTAAAAGAAACTGGCTCATAAAAATGCGAAAATGCTCATGCAGCCAGCTCATTCATCGAGATTTTAACCTGGGTGTTATCATATTTAATTCAGCAAATTATATAGTAAAAATCTGCTGTGGATACCACGACTTTCTTGTACTGCCTATTAAATTATACACTTGTTTTCCTGCTCTTCATTTAAACTTATTTCCTCAAATTTAATAAGAGATATATTCCTCAATATATCTGTATTCAGTCAGCTAATATAATCTATATTCAATCACCTATGCCATTCATATACAAATACCTATTCAATCACCTAGTTTGTGGTGAGGCGAAAATACATAAAAACTCAAAACATCTTCATTAAAATTTATAAAACACAGCTAAACCTTAAACATCAAATACAGTTAAAAAAGCAGTATATGCAATTAAAATTAAGAGTACATATTCCAAAACAAACAGTTTGGTCAACAGGCAGGAAGGTAAAATTTTCAGTGCATAAAAATTTAAAATTGACTTTTGGTCCCACTGTGTAAAAAGACAAAGAAGTTGATGCACCAAGTGACTTAACTCTCTATGCTACTAAGGGCTTTAGATATAAGCCAATAGTCGCCAGATTAGGCCTAGCCCAACTTTTAAATTGTTGATTATTCTAACAGATGCAGATAAACTAAAGACATAAAAACCTTAACCAGAACATCAGAATAACATAATTCAATCAATTGCGCCACAATTTACTAACATTTGCATAACTAAATATTAACCTGTAACAGGGGAGGTGAAATATTGGGACGTAACCGGGGACATGCGGTCACAGAGACGTGTCTCATTATGATTTAAATAAGAAGTTATTGTTATGAATAATAATTATTTTCCATTAACTTAACATATGATAGATATATTCAGATGAAAAATATAAATATTGTACGTACCATAAAAAAATGACAATACCTTAACTATCAGTAATATCATTGTGTTCTTGCAAAAAATAGCAATTTACTCAGCATGTTTTTGTGTGCATTCATGACATAATTTTTGTGTACATACCAAACAAATTGGCGTTTTACAACTTACGTATAAATAAGAAGGTTTCAGTTCTTTCTTTTTCTCTAATATTTTGTTTGTGAAAAGGAGTTCCCAAACTGCAAAAACCAAAAAATTTTACTGCAAAATCAATAAAAGAAGCTTATAATTAAAGCGATCGCTATGAAATTTTCTCCAGACAAAAAAAAAAAAAAAAAAAGCAAAAACCTGTCTGAATCTATGTTTGGTTGATTTTTGAGATAAATACATAATTGAAACTTAAAATGTACATGTGTGTAATAAATTCATATAGTACAAAGTCCAAAATCCGGACTCGTCGGGACTTTGGAGATTCTGGATTTGGGATTTTTCCAGATATTAGATCATCAGTTTAAATTTATTAAGATGGCATGTAGTAATTATAAAATTAAAAATATGAAATAGTGAAGTATTTATGATCTAAAGGGTATCAAAATTTAAAAAAAAAAAAAAAGCTTAATATTTATTTGTTTACCTTATTAAACATTTCTTTCAGTGTAAGTTATATAAGTTGCTTTGTTTTTTGTCCTAATACTTTCTCTTTAATTCTGTAGACGGACATAATCTCTTGTTTAGTTACATGGTTGAGGTCCCGTAACTGCTGTTTGGAGAACTACGAATAACTTGTCAATCGAAATTTTTCCCGTTTTCAGTAAGTCATTTTCTTCACTATCGGTAGCCATATTTTCTGGATCTAGAACCATTCTATAGATTTTGCCATTCATTAATTGATTGATAATTGAGAAGCATTGTCATTACAATGAAAAACTTCTTTTATATCATCTTCATTTATTACCGCTCCTTCACATTTCTTTACAGAATCCATTAATTGGAAAATTTCACCTTTGTTTTGCGATATCCGAAAACCTTTAAAATTATAGGCTATCATCATCAAATTTAGCTATCCTTCACTAGACATATTTGGCTATACATCCATGAGCTTGGCGACTAACGACAAGTTGTTCCGTTCAATTTTATCTTGCTTCTATCGCACACTGAGACAGCGGCTATACGAGCTCTGTCGCTTGTTCTGGGTTTATGTGAATAACAATCAGTTATTCTTAATTCAAATAGCCCTGAATGTAATCTTTGGCTCTATGAGTTACATCAACAAATTTTATTTTTGCATATGGAAAGAAATTTTAACTAAATGTTTCCTCTTCAACATTTTTTAGCACATTTATCTTAAATCTGTAATCATTGGCAAGCATAATTTCAAAATAAAAGGTCACGACACTCCTTTATTTTTCAATTACTAACATAAAAAAATTGTTTAGGCATCGCTGAGTCATTATTCAAGTTGTCATGTTTTGATAAACATGCGGTGCTGAAAGCAAAGTATAGTAAATAATGATTCTCCAGGTTGGTGTCAGATCAACGATGTATCTATGTGGAATGTTTCGGTTTGAGATGTGTACCAAGCAGATACGCAGCAACGAAGCCAAATTACTGATCATACAAATATATGCTAAAATGATTGTTTCTTCAATAGCAAGGTATTTTATTTAGTGTCAAAGCGAAACTAAGAATCGGTACTCTCCAGATGTTATATTATGTGCGGAGGGGGCAAATCAAATGCGCATGCATAAAGCCTACAAGAAAAACTTTGTTGGTGGTTTTGATCATTCTGGATTTTAGATCATTCCAGATAATGGATGTCCGGTTTTCAAACTTTGTACTATATATATTTTTTCATGCAATACAGTATTGTGCAGTTACAAATCATTATACTGTTTCTTCTGTAAAAAATCGGTAGATTCACCGAAATGAGTTCACTAATACATAATCAATAAATTAAAAATTATGATCATTCCAAAGTAGTAATGGTGTCTGAAATATTAATTATGTATGTTTTGATTGGCATTTAATTATTCTTATTGCATACTGTAAATTTATCAAATCTTTCTTTTATCTTTGTAGGATTTATATAAGTCTGGCTTTTTTTACATTGATGGTGTGTTTTATAATGATATGCGAGATTCAGATTGCAGAGATTACAGCGAGTAAGTTGTACTGAAATGTTTTTTAACTGTTAATTTTTAAATTCTTTCTATTCTGAGGAAAAAATAATGCAATTTATTTTCTTCTTGTGCACCTTCCTTTGCTCTGTTGTGGCTTATCTCACTTGTCTGACAATCATATCAAGTTAATGGAATGTAAGATGTTCCAGAATCAAATCTTGGTTAGAGTAAATTTGATCTTTAAAACAGCTAATGCACATGAAGATATTTGAAGGAGTGGCCTGTGAAGAGCTGCATGTGAGGCATGGAGGATAAACCTTATATCCAGAAACATATGTCTCCTGACATAGATAACCCGCTGCTAGTAGAGATTGGGCCTTCTTACTGCTCATCTCAAGCAAGTTAGCACCAGCCTGTTTGCAAGCATACTAGTTATAATTAGGAGCTGCTCTTCAGAACGAGCTGATTTCGAGCTTGAGTCTAGAAGTTCTGAGAAGTATGTGTAAAGAAAGCATGTGTTCTTAAAGCTACCTTCCTTGCACAGCTTATCCAGTTATTTCATTTTTATAGATATCTGCATGCAATGGCACCCATTGAAGAAACATTCTGTAGTTGTTCACTGATGGATTTAAATTTTTGGACAATGTTCATGTTAGTATGATCACCGTGCTCCCACCATTTAGATTAGCCATGTTGAATTTTGACTGAACTAGAAATTAAAAATATTACCCGGCTTTAATTTTTTTAATAAATCTAATGAAATGGTAAAAACTGTGTGTCAAAAACAAACTTTGTTCAGAAAATTGGATTCAAACATTGATGAAAAGAGACAAAAGAAAAATTAAACATGAAAAATTTTTATTCAATGATAAACATAAATCTTTTTTTTTATACTTTTTTTTATACTAAATCTTTTTTTTTATAAGTACTTTGTATAAATGTGGTTTATTATTGTTTATTTCCTCCATTATTAATTGAAATTTCATCATTAAATCTTGTAAAATAGTTTAGTTGTGTAGATATATTTTTCCCTTCTCATTATGAACTATTCTGTAAATTCAACTGTTATTTAAAATTAAAAAATAATTGTAATTGTTTTCCATGGTTCGAGTAATGCTAATTGTCTAATAAATACTGAATTTCCCGTATTTTAAATTACAAATCTCATTTTCCTTTTAAGGTTATGCAGTTGTGTATATATGTAATTCAACAGCTGCTTATTTTTTTCCTTAAAATCTGCTTATAGGTGCTTATTTTTTTAACTAAAATGTGTCTGCTAACCCTGTCTGATGAAACCTTCAGAATTAGTGTTTGATCGTAAATTCATAGATATATGAAAGTAAGAAGCAGGCTGGCATGGAACCTGGCATATACATACAGCAGCAGTGAACAAACTGATGGCGACAGAAGAGTTAGATGAGCAACAAAGGCACAACCACTGGCCATTCATAAATTTAAGGTGCAATTAATGTGGAAAAAAATATGAAAATAAGAATAAAAGTTCTTGATTTTGATAGAAAACTGTGAAAATAATAAGTTTTACAAAATTATTCATTACAATTAGGAATGTTTGTTGTTGAAATTTAAACATTTAATGGGCCATTTTAAATGATATTTTGAATGTTATCTTGAGCTGTACAAAATCAGGACATGTGCCATGTGTTTCACATGTCTGATTTAGATAGATGTTGATTGGAACTACAACTGTCACTCAAAATGCAGACATCTTTGTCAAGATTAGTAGTCACATGATAATTCAGGACTTCATTGACAGCGTTCATCTCTGACCTAATTACAAGAAAGTAACTTGAGTTTCTCTTACTAATTTTAATAACATCATTATCCTCATTGAAGAAGTTAAACAGCAAGAATTAGCATAATATTTGTAAATTATGCTGCTTCTTGTTTAACTTCTCCAATAATCATTCTTCGGCATGATATTTCAACCTAAATCATTATCCTTACTAATGAAAATTTTGCTATGGTAGATAGCTTCATCACCCCTATTGCCATCAATATACATTTGTATTGCATTATTATATATTGTATGAATGACCTTCAGAGCCAACTGCCTGAGATACCTGCCATGGTGATTGCCCAGTGAATGAGTATAAACATAATTTACCCAAAAAGGAGAAAAATAGTATCAAGACAGCAGAATATGGAGACCTGATCCACTTTGTTTCGCAGCAAACCTTCGCTCTCAGCATGATTACAATCTCCATAACTGAGTATCTGCTTGGCATACATCTCAAACCGAAACATTCACCTGTTTTATATCCCTGACGTCAACCTGGCGAGTCATTATTTATTATAGTTTGCTTTCACCCCCGCATTACATAAGCTCTGTTTTTCAAGATGGCCATTGTTTGATCCAATTGCGAATAAAATTTGATGTTCTGTGCTGATCTCTAAAGCTTCTTATCTTTGCAAAATATTTAATCAATAGGATCAAGACAGCAGAATATAGAATAAGGAGAAAATAGGATCAAGACAGCGGAATATGGAGACCTGTTCCACTTTGTTTCGCAGCAAACCTTCGCTCTCAGCATGATTACATAAGCTCTGTTTCTCAACATGGCCATTGTTTGATTCAGTTGCGAATAAAATTTGATATTCTGTGCTGATCTACAAAGCTTCCTATCTCTGCAAAATATTTAATCAATAGATAGAATTGCACATGAGTGTGAAACAAAGATCAGCTTCATACAAGACATTATCATTTGGGCAATTCTTACAAAGGTACCAGTGCTGAGTTGAGCTGTTTCTAATTATTAACTCTGAGGCAGCCTATCATATCAATATCATATTCCAGGATTGGGGAAATCAGAGTAGTAATATGCACAGTTTATTTATTTATGCCTTGTAATTTTGATTTAGTTTTTAAGTGAGAACTAGATTTTGCAGTTAAATTAAAGCCAATAAATAGAAATTTGAATTCAGTTACCTTTATTATTATTATTAGTCCAAAGGGGCTTTGTCCCTGAAGGACTATTGTTTTCGTTTTGCAATTTTTGTTCGGAATCCTAGAAATGGCGTATCACTTTTCAAATCATTGCCACCAAATACTATTGCCCCGTATTATATTTGAAGATATTAAATAATGAAGAATCTGCATAAATGTATGTATGTTTCTCGCATTGTGATAAGACAATGGTAATAAGCCATCCAATTTTGAATAACGTAATCCTCGAATGGGCATGGGAAGCCAAATTGGAATTTGTTTTATTATCGATTTCATATTTTGTAAAACTTTAACGAATTTTCGATTAACAAGCCCAAAGATTTAAAAGCAAGCAATGACAACACTCTAGGGGGGAGCCTTTTTATTTCCAGCCGTCGGAACTGTGTATGAGAAATTCTAAAGATATGCTCATTTTTAAAATTATTTTGCTACATTTCTGTTGAAATTAATTTAATGTTTTCAGTGCAAAGAACATGATATTTAATAAATAAAGGTAACATACAAGATGTTAAAAAAATGCCCTTTTGGATGTTTTGTTTTTTTTTTTTTTTTTTTTTTTTTTTTTTTTTTTTTTTTTTCCCTTTTAATTTATTTGAAAATGCATTCAAGTGAAGCCCAATTTATGTTTTGCAAAAAGGGGGAATTGATGAAGTCTGCAAATAGAATTTGATATTTTAGTAGCAAATGTTAACATCAAAATAAACAGATTGATATATTGTAAAGATTTAATTAACTTATAAAATATTTAAAAGAAAAAACTTATTATAGAAACATGTGATGAAAATTTTTTTTTCCAGTATTAATGTCCATTTGGTATTTTTGCAGAACAATTATGAAATGGTCTCAGGACAAAAGAAGGGGTATAGGACCTTTCCAAAAAGCATTGATGGAACATTGTCAGTTCATTGATTTGAGTATTCAACTTGGCTATCCTTATGTGTATGTTCATCAAGGAAACTGTGAGCATATAACTGTATTCAATGATGTGCAGTAAGTATTAATTTTAGCATGTAATATTTGATCTGTAATTACATGTATGGCATTTTTTTAACAGTGTTTATGTTTTTTCAGCATGTTTTCGCATCACTACTGTCAAAATAGAAATGATTATCCTCTTATTGATTTGAAACCAAAAAAACGTGTATTATGTATGGCTTGTCGTATTTATACAGCAGGGTAAGTACAATGGTTATTTTTTAGTTATTGAATCTTATTTTCAAGTTAATATGTACACTGGTTATCAAAATTAAAGAATTGTGAGGAAAAATATGCTCACTAAGTTAATGTTGCAACCAATGCCGAATGCTGTAATTATTTATATTAGTTAAATACAATTGAACACAAAATTGCACTTCCTTGCATACATTAGCACTGGAAATATGCAAATTCGGTGGTTGACAATGTGTTGCACAATGAATGCATGTTGGAATTCCGATCTGTAGTTTTGTTTACACTGGATGTGGTTTCTGCGAGTGATCAATATTCAGTAGTTATGGCTCAAAGGCATCATTTAAGTGAAGGTCAAAGTTGGCAAATAATTGGGAGAATCGACGGAGGCCGAACACAAATGGAGGTCATCCAAGATTTGAATACCCCTCAAAGTGTCGTATCGAGAGTTTGGAGCCACTTTTTAAACACTGGATCAGTTGATAGATAGCTTGATCAAGGGTGCTCAAGAGCAACAACTGCATCAGAAGACCATTTTCTGTCATTGTCAGCTCAAAGAAACTGCAAAGCGACTACAAGAGATTTGGTTTCATACCATTAGGCTCCCGCAGGAACTCAAATTAGCTGCTCTACTGTGGCACGAAAGCTTAATAAGGTTGGACTGTATCTAAGAATACAAATGGTTTGTGTCCCACTCACTCCAGCTTCCAGGGGAACTCATTTATACTAGTCCCACCATCATATTCAATAGAGCCAAATTGACTGGGCCTAAGTATTGTTTACTGGTGAGTGTAGATGTAGTCTGAACAGTGATTCTAGATGTGTTTTGATCTGTAGAGTGGGAGGAACATCCAATTTGCCTTCCTTTGTTCGGGGAAATATCCCGCTCCTGTGACCTTCATTTAATGGTTTGAGGAGAAATCATGACAAATGACCACACCAAGCTGCATATCTCTCAAGGAGGTTTTGTAACTGCTTGGAGGTATGTGGATGAAGTACTGAAAGCCCAAGTTAGACTGTTTAGGGGTGCTGTTGGCCCAGTGTTTTTCGTAGTGGATGACAATGCTCAGCCTCATTGCGTATAATGTGTTGGAATACTTGGAAACAGAAGATATCACTCAAAAGGATTGCCCACCTTACTCACCCAATGTGAACCTGATTGAGCATAAGTGGAATGCCTTAGGGTGGCCATTTCAGAACACTAAATTCCTGCTTGGGCCCTTCAGAAGCTGAAAAGTGCACTTTTAGAAGATAGCGTGCAATACCACAAGACTTGATCAAATCTTTGGTAAAGTCTATGCTTGTTTGTCCAATGTGACCATATTAAAGAAAACTTTTTTCCACAAGAAGTGACTTAATTTATCCATCATTTTCCAGTTTCCATAAATTTGGTTTTAATTTCAATATTTTGCGAATAATCAACTGTCAAACATTGGAATTTATGTTTACTAATGCTTTTATACAAATTTTTATTACTAATTTTCCATTTCACATTCACCATTTCATTAATTAAATCTTTTAAGATTAAAAAAAAAAAGAAATCAGATAGGAAAATTAAGCTAATATGAATCCCCACTAACATATGTAGTCATTCCTGCTGATTAGAGCAACTATAGGGTTTTACCTTTTTGGCTAAAGTCTGTATAAGATGAGATAAGCAAGTTTATCAAAAGAATTTTTATTTTTATTTCTTCAAAACTGTACACTGGCTGATGCTTTGCTGCCCTCAGGCTGATCTCGAGAAGACAGGTCTCAACATCCTAAACATAAGAGAAAGAACTGTTTAAACTTACTACTTGCCTGCCATTTTGAACTCCTTCAAAAGGATATTAACTAGGTGCCTGGTTTATGATGCTTCTTCCCTTTCCTTCTGGAGATGATGCCTCTTGAGCACAGGTCTCAATCAGTGCAATGAACAACCCCAAAGAGGATCTTATGAATATGAACAGTATAAAAAAATTAATAAGAACAGTAATAAAAATTATGTGAGATTTCTGTGTTGCAACCTGATTTATTTATGCATAAATTTCATATTTGTGAAAGAAAACCATAAATAATTCAGAATTGATAATGTTTTATGCTTATGAATAAACTTGTGCAATAACTTTCAGAAAAAAATCAAAGGGAGTGTGCAAAATATCATAAAATCTAAAACGTTAATGAGAAAAAAACAAATATAGAATTATATATTTTATTGAAAGAAATTTGTATACCTGAGATAGCACATTAGAAGTATATTAAAAAGATGCAATAAAATATATTTTAACTAAATTTAATAAGAAAAGGGTTAATTTAGATAGCAGAAGGAATATTGGTAATTTTATGAGTTATTCTATACAGGTATGTCTGCATTACCTAAATTGGCTTCCTTAGTGTTCAGGGATAGCTTAAAATAATGGCTGGAATCAGATTAAACGTTGAGGAAAGAAAATTCATTCTGAAGTGCTACTGGAAGACAGGGAACATCAGTGAAGTGCAAAAACGCTTTAGAATGAGTTTCAACGATCCATGGAGTTTCACAACCCGAATGGAGTTTCAATGATTTCAAGTTCACATGATGTTCAACTCTCATATGAGGATTGTTAGGTTCCCAGTAAGTGCAATTGTGATGATTAACTGAACCATTCAACTTGAATGTAGCCTCATCACTCCAAACAATCTTGAACACGAATTGATTGTCCTCTGCACATTTTTCTTGCTGCCACTCAAAAAATTCAAGTCTACTGTCAAAATCATCTTCATTGAGAGCGTGTACTAATCTAGGAATAAAACTCCTCCATTGGGCACGCTTCAAAATGCAATGGACGCTCAATCTTGGAACTCCTGTCTCACGAGCTGCTTGCCAAACAGATTTGCTTGGAGATTGCTGAAATCTTTCAATGACTTCTCTTTCTCTTGTGGGGCTAGTGGATGATCATAGTCTTCCGGAATGGTTCTTATGGACATCCTTAACAGTTCCTTCTTCCTCAAACTTAGCCCACAAACGAGTAATTGTGAGTCTTGTTGGTGCATCTCATTAAAACTCCATTCTAAAGCGTCATTGTACTTCACTTATGTTCTCTGTTTCCAGTAGCACTTCAGAAGGAATTAGCTTTTCTCAAAGTTTAATCTGATTTGATCCATTATTTTAAGCAGTCGCACCTGAAATAAAGAACAAAAAATGTGGTTGTAACTGTAAAAGGGCGTATGCATTTTATTGGGAGACTCTGTAGAGCAAGTGGTTCAAACTCACCCAGCATTGTCTTCCTAGAGCATGTGTTGATCATAAGCACCAATGGTTATACTTCAGACTGATATCACTAAACATTTTTATTGGTCAAAAATAGCGTGTGTAAAGCTTTGTGTTTCTTCCTTTATGCTGTTCCCCAAAGAGGCTTTTTTTTTTTTTTTTTTTTTTTTTTTTAGGTTTTTAAGGTTGCAATCTGTGGTAAGATGGTATTTGACTTATTTTGATTTACTGTATTACCCTTTGAAACAGGATTAAAATGAAATGTCTTAATCCCTTATTTTTACTTTAATTCAGTAATTTAAATAATTTTAACAAATTTAAGGAATATATTAAAATTTATCCAGGATTGTATGAGAGAAAGAGAACATACTGTAATAGTAAATGAATGAAGAAACTAGTGTAATATCCAGAAATATTCAAAAATGTATTGCTCACTGCAATTTCATTACAATAATGAATGTAATGTAAAAAGTAGTGGTGGTCAAAAGAAGAGTAATGGAGCTAGGAACAGGGTTTTTCCACACTTCCAACAGAAACTGAGTGGAAACTTCATTTTATGCAAGCTTGCTATATGGGAAAATTTCAAAAGTTTTTAAATCCAAATTGAGTGGTGAATTAGTATAAACAGTAATTCTGATTTTCGAAAGCTGAATTTGTGGTTTTTATTTCAAACACAGAAAGTTACTGAAGACTCTTTCACTATCTTGTGTTCAACATACCATCACTTAATCTGAATTTTAAAGATCTGCAGGTTTGTTCTGCAAATAAACAAAACCATAATCACCAGGAATTTTAAATTTGTCTTGTGAATAGAAGTCATATTCCTTTAAATTTGATTTTATTGATAAGTTCAAAGAAAACTGGAAAAACCTTACTATTTGAACACTGTACCCTTAATTTTTTAAATAGGAAGTAAATGACAGAGACAAAGAAGAAACTGGTATATTTTGAATAGCTTGAGGAGTTAAAATTGAAGTTGGTAAAAGTTTTTTGTGCATGAAGTCAATAAGTTTCTTCTGTGCTGGAAAGTTTCATGTATGCAGTGTCAATGTTCCATTCCATTTCTGTCAAAGCTGTAGAAAACCTGTTCTGAGTCCCAGCTCTGTTGTTTTGACCAAATATTTCAATTCTGCTCTGTTTACCATCACAACAGCAGAGCTTTGATGTTGAATTCAACTCCAGTAAAACTGTAAGTAGCAATAATTTGTTACCAATTTGTGTTGATTACTATACTGAACTTCTTCATTTGTTTACTATCATATTCAGCTGCATAATAAGTTGCGAAGCAGGAAATCTGGAGTGAAAGACTGGTAAGCCAGCAGAAACTGAAGGGAGGAAGCTCTGTTTACTTGCCTTAGAAATAACCACTCTTGTATTATACATAATTATCTTCTAAAAGCTGAGAGTCAGCCTATTTGCTTAAAGTGTAATCCTGCTCTATCAGTGCTTCATGTTTTAATAAAATGCTTACATTTTAAAAGACCCCCTTGATTTGGAGAAGAGGTCAGTTTTAACATATTTTATATTGAAAAAGAAATTAATTTTATTATTTGATCTAAAGTGGTTTTAATGCAGTTTAGGGTATTAAATGTGTTTCAAGTATAGTTTATACATTTTAGTTTTATATTTTGATGCCTCTTGAAAATTGCATGCATCTTTTTATCTCCTCATTAATCGGTATCAATCATCACATGTTTGGTGCATTATAAAATTTAGGGTTATGTACCATAAAATCCACCAACTAACCAACTAACAATCATTTGCTTACTGCTAAACTCCA